AAAACTAGGTAGAAAAGAAACAAGGAAATTGAGATTTTAAAATTAAGAACAACTACAGCTTCAAGATGCAAAAGTTATTCAAGGCTTTTCCCTTCTAAAAAACTAACACATACACACAAATTTAAAGTTCCTTTTACAATAAGTCTGTGAATCAGGGCTCTTAACTGCCCTTCTCACTGTAAATTGTACTTCCCCTATTCCAAGGAAGCAGCAATATTGTGGGCAGCATATCTCAACTTCAAATACAAGTACGTGGCTTGCATTGTAACCTGACAATGAGAATACACGTCTCAATGGCCCATCTTGAAGACACCCCCTTAAATGTACCCCAGTCTGGCTTGTAACGAGACATTTCTCTGAGCACTCACACTCCACTCTTAGGAAAACCTAACAAACACTCCTTATGTCTCTTTTTTTTTTTTTTAATTTTTTTTTTTATTTTAAAGATAAAAGGAGGGAAACATTAACAGACATACCACATTTTACAACATATCACAAGCACAATACAGACAATACAGAGTTACAAACAAAGTGGTAGGGAATTAACAATGGTGGTTGTATTACATTAGTACCATGTCCTGAAAATTCTTTTTTATGCAACTAGAGTCAGTGAATCGGCAAACTTACTTTAAAAGGACGGGATAGGTTCCTTCTTTCAGTCTCATTTACAATAGGATTTTGTGGTTCTTCAATTGAATCCTGACCTAGGATAAAGTCATGAGTTCATCATTTTTTGCTCAAGTTTCTCAATACACTTAGGAGCAAAATCAGTCCATCGCAGCCCTTATTTCCACTAAAATGTTCTATGCAGAAAATACTGGTTCCTCCAAAGTCTTTCCTTATATAGGTATCTAGTACAGGTATCTGTGGGCAAACTTTGTTTTACATTCCACAGACGTCTAATGTCCTCTTTACTGTTGGAAATAAGGTCATCATGACTTTAAATCTAATTGTATCAGAGAACCAATCGCAGATAACACAGCGCCAATTTTGAGAACGCATCCTTAAGCTTCTGACCCCAGAGCCATTCTCAAGGCGAAGCTCATTATCAGTGTTTCATCAGAGAAGTGAGGCTTCAACCATAGGCAACTGCTGCTTAACAGTCTATGTGAGGTGATTGTTTCTGTGTTTGCTGTTGTAACATGAAATGACAGAGCAGAAAGAAAAGAAATGTGAATGTGAGGTGGGGGAAGCAAGGACATACTAGAACTTGAGAGGTTTAGGTGAACAACTCATGAAGGCAACAGCTCCTGTCATCCTATCATCTCCAAACCTCAACTTTGAAGAAAGACTGCCCTGCCTTGGGAGCTGCTACCCTTTGTTACAGTTTATATCTAAAATGCCCCCCTCAAGTCTCAGGTATTTGGAAACTGATGGGATCATCAGGTGCTATATTCATCAATGGACTCATTCTTTGATGAGTTTAGTAGCTAGACGTGCTGTTAGGAGGTTGGGCCTAGTTGGAGGTGGATCATTGCAGGTATTGACCCAGAAGGATGTGTTTTTGTCCCAGGCTCCTCTTCTGCCTGCTTCCTGGCCTCCTTGGATTGAGCAGCTTTGCTCTGCCATCTCCTTTCACAATTGGAATTTATGCTTGGAGTCAGCTGACCATGGACTGAACCCACTGGAAACTATGAACCAAATAAATCTCTCCTCTTTCAAATTATGTTGTGCATTTTGTCCTAGAGATGGGAAAGTAGCTGATATGCCCTTCATCATGGGGTTAAACAAAAATGAGGCCCAGAATCTGGAGCAGCACTGGGCAGATCAGATGGGTGATAAGTGACAAGTGAGTGACAAGCATTTTGTGAACTGGTCCATCTTCCCAAAGGTGGCTGCTCCTCCACTTACACCTTTCTAAGTCACACACAAAACAACTTGTGTAACCTTGCTAACCTGGAACTAGGCAGGAAAGTCATTTGGGAGCCAGAGCCCTGGCTCAGGTGAGGTATCACAAGTCCACCACACCACTGGTCAAAGGAGGAATCTCACTGAAATAAAGTACTTTGAACTTAATAATAATGAAAATACAGGTATTTGATACTATGTATCAAAATGTGTAGGCTACAGTTACAGAAATCCTTACAAGGAACTTGTGGCATTAAGAGTTTATAAATAAAAAGATTAAATCAATAATCTGAGCATTGAAACTGAAGATAAGCAATAAGAGGAAAATCAACCACACCCAAAGTTAATGTCTTAGTTCATTAGGGCCACTATAGCAAAATACCTGAAAACTGGATAGTGTATAAACAACAGACTTACTTCTCACACCTGTAGAAGTGTAGGCCTGATCTCTGTTTCTGAGATGGTGCCTTGAATGCTTTATTCTCTAGCAGGGATGAATGCTGCATCCTCACATGATGGAAAGGATGGAAAAGGGTGGGAAGCAGTTGTCTGAAGTCTTTTTTTATAATATTGTGAACCTCACATGATCAAGAAAAAAGAAAATAGCTAGGAGTGGTCATGCAGCACTAGGACCCAGCACTAGGGAGGCAGAGGCAGGAGGACCATGAATTCAAGACCAGCTTGGGCAACAAAGCAAGACTCTCTCTCAAAAACAAGAAAAGAGAGAGAGAGTGAGAGACAGAAAGAGACAGACAGAGAGAGAGAGAGAGAGAGAGAGAGAGAGAGAGAGAGAGAGAGAAGAAAGAAAAGAAAAAGGAAGAAAGAAAAAGAAAGAAAGAAAGAAAGAAAGAAAGAAAGAAAGAAAGAAAGAAAGAAAGAAAGAAAGAGAAAAAGAAAGAAAGATCATCAATATAAGTCATAAAAAAGGAAGTATCACTATGGGTACTACAGGCATTAAAATGTTAATGAGGGAATTGGGAACGTTCAAATTACTTTATGGCATCAAATTTTATAACTTAAATGAGCATATTTCTTTTAAAAAGTATTCAAACTAATAGGAAATAAAAATATGAAGTTCTATCTATTAATAATTGAATTTATTTTCAAAAACCTTCTCACAAAGAAAGTTCCAGGCTTGCACTGAAGTAAGCAATGACTTCTTAGGTATGACATAAAATGCAGTAATTATACAAGACAAAAGTTGGTAAGTTGGTCTTAAAATTAAACATTTTCCATAGCATATCATTAACGAAATGAAAATGCAAGCTAAATTGGAGTAAATATTTGTAATAAGTACATCTGATGAAAAATTTATCTCAATTTATAAACAATTCTTTGAAGGCAATGATGCAAAGAAAAGCCACCCTCTGCCTCTGCATACTAGGGATTGAACCCAGGGCCTTTATGCTTCCTATATCTATCTCCCAATGTTTGTTTCTTGAGACAAGGGCTCCAAAGTTACTAAATTTTCTAGCCTTGGCTAGAATTGGCAATCCTGGTGCCTCAATTTCCCAGAGTACTGAGAAAACCCATTTTTTAAAAAATAGTCCCAAAAACAAATACTTCACAAAAAGATATAAAAAGTATAAAACAAAACAAGAACCATGAGAAAAGGTGCTTAACATCATTATTTAAAGGAAAATGCAAATTAAGCCATCATGGGACTTTACATGCACTAAAAATGCTTAAAAATACAGAAGGACAAAACTGGAAAAAAATGGAATTGTCACTACTGGTGGTAAAAATGTAAAATGGTAGTCACTTTAGAAAAGTTTACATTTCTCACAATATTAAACATCCACATACCCATAACCTCACAATTCTAATTGGTATTTACCTAAGAGAAATTAAAACATAAACACACAAAACTTGAGACAAAAATTTGCAGCAGCTTTATTTATAATAACCCATACTGGAAATAACCCAAATAATCATCAACCAATGGATTAAAAAATAGCACTACACTTCAGTGGAATACTATCTAATAATAAAAAGGGACAAACTACAGATTTATGCAACAGCATGAATCTCACAATGTGTTAAGCTAAAGAAACCAAACACAAGAGCACATACTGTCTGATTCAATTCAAATGAAATTCTAAAACAGGCAAAATTAACCTCCAGTAAACTGAAAATAGATCAGTGGTTACCTAGGCCTGGGGAGAGATGAACTGCAGAGGGAAATTAAACTTTTTCTGGTAAAGAAAATGTTCTAAATCTTGATTGGAGATGACATTGTTGTATAAATTTGTAAAGGCTCATTAAGTTGTACTGTTAAATTGGGTATGTTTTATGTAAATTATACTTCTACTAAGCTAACCAAAAAAAAAAAAAAGACAGAAATCACCAGTATATCTGAATGTGCACTAAGTTTCTAGGTTTGTTTCTTTGTTGGTAGAACGTGTCAGAGGTCAAGTTTACATTTAAATAAATGTCTTAGCTAAATTATAATAATGAAATAGAGGAAGATACGATGCAGTGAATAAAAACCTATGATATGAATGCTTTTAAATGACTAACTTTTCATACCAATATGCTATTTTGTGATTAAATATGTTTGAGTATCACAAGTTGTTAGAAAAACCAAGTACACACTCTGCCTCTTGGGGGATTTAATCAATATATTAAACCTTTATCAAATGTTTAAGAAACCTTAATTAATGAAGCATATGTGGTGTTAAATGTTTAGAATTTGGTATAGTTTTGGAATTATTCATCAAAGAAATGACTTTTTTTTTTTACAAATTTTACTGTACTTGTAATTTAGTAATATAATCTTCAAGTTGACCAGAGTTAAGGGGGCACACACACACACATCTGCCTTTCTTGGTGTAAGCAACCCTTTTCTATGAAGATCCATTCATAGCCCGAGCACTGTGTTAAGAGACAGGTAGACTCCACTGCCAATTTGTATGTGGTCAGAATCAGGGCTACTGGTTGATTGAGGGGAAAAATATATCTTCAAATAGGTACAATCTTTGACTCTTCTCCTTTTGACACCCCCAAGGCACTCAACAAATGTCAAGTAAGGAAAACAACTTGGTGGGTAAAAGAGAGCATTAGAACACATTAAATATGTGTATCCACTGCAGTGCTTGGCACCTACTTGGGATTTACTAAATATGCACTGAACAGAATGACATTTTCATCACTTCATTTAATACATTCAGCGAAGTATTTATTGAAGCTCAATTACGTATCAGGTATTTTGTAAGAATGCATGGATTAACGCAATGATGATTTCTATTTTCAAGGCCTAGAATAAATACAGTGCACATAACAACAAAAGATGATCAAAAGCAGGAACTGCTGAAATACAGTCAGTCAAGTTTTTCGAGTCTGAAGTTATAAACACAAGGAAGGAAAGTTCTTTCCTGTTAGTAATTTCTTGCTGCCTTCGACTGGGTCATTTACAAATAGGAATTTACTTCACACTGTTACAGAGCCGGGTAAGTCCAAGATTAAGGTCCCAGAGGGTTTGGTGTCTGGCAGACTCAAACTCTGTTTCCATAATGGCGCCTTGGTGCTGTATCCTCTGGAGGGAACAAATGCTGGGTCTTCACATGACAGAAGGAATTATAACACAAAAAGGATAGAGCTCCCTTATACTTTTAATTCCATTTATGAGGGCGTGGCTTAATTACTCCTAATGGTCCTGCCTCTTAATGTTATCATCTTGATGATCAGTTGGGTTTTAATGTATCAATTTTAGGGGACACATTTAGACCACAGCATCCCGCAAATTGTTTAGTTTCTTTGGATAACTTTATTCCTGCTCTGCATGGCTAATGAATGACTTCACACTTTTTCTACCTAAATGCATCCCAAATCTTTGCTCTGTTATCTCCTACACATCACTCCTCTATAAAATAACTGCATGTGCTGTAAACAGCATGCACTCAAAACTGAACTCCTAATTCTCTCCCAAACCTGTCCCTGGGCTCTAGAAGACAGGAAGCAAAAGAAAAGGGGAGGGTAGATTCCTCGCATTCAGTATTAAGAGACAGGAGAAAGATGAAGACACAGTACATTTCTGTGGGTTTCTCAACTGTGCTCTCAATCATCTCCATCTACCTCCCAGTTTCTACCAGCAAAGGAAAAAAATGTAACTTTTTTTACTTCATTTTCCACTTTGATAACTATAAAAGGTTTCAAAGTCAAAGGGAAAGTTTCTCAATTGCCATTCCTCTAGGAAGGCATTTAGGTCCTCACTTCCCTGAATATTCTGAACTGCTCTAATAGAGAATACGAGAACATGATGTATATGTGCTGCTGGAGTGAGCACAAGAAGAACATGATGAAGCATAAAAAAAAGAATTTTTCAACATAATTCAGCTTTAAAAGACCAGAATTTAAGAAGGGTGAGAAGGCAGAGATTAATCTGACCATTCTTAACACTTTAAAAATTTTCCTTCTCATAAATTATGTGCTTTCCTCTGTATTAGACAGGAATAAAATCTATTAATTTTCACATTGCTATCAGTTATGGAATTAAACACTGGGACAACTAATGCAGAGAGAACCTGAAATATTTCGGAGCTCATTTATCATTCTGACATCTTTATTTCCTCCATTCTCCTCATGAAGAGGGTAATAAACCACATGAATGTGGTAAAGTTTGCTATCTGCTCAAGAAACTGGCTTCCTCATTGCTCCAGCATATAGCCAGTCATGGGATGAAACCTTTTCCAGTCCAGGGGGGCATGACTGATTTTTGTCCAAGAAATGTGAGTGAGCAAAAGACATACACTCCTAGGCCCCTCTCAGAGAAACTCTCCATACACACACGTTTCCTTCTTTCCCCATGTACCCCGTGACAAAGTGGATTCTAAACTAAAAATTAGGAAGAGCCACAAGGTAGAGCTTGAGTTTCAGAATGACCGTGTGGAAACCTGCTGATGACCAGGAACATCCACGTGAGTTTCTGTGAGAAGTGAACCCTGCAACAGCTACTTAACTTCTTTGAGTTCTCGTTTCTTCATGTCAAAGACTCATAGCAATGCCTAGTGAAGAAGAAAAGCTCAATGCATATTAGATGTCACTATTATTGAGCAATAAATTTACTTCTCTTTAATTTTCTTCTCTTTCTTAGGCAAGGTGGAACACTGAGCCGGGTAGAACTAGTGAAAAGTACTCAGCTGCATTTACCTGTTATAAAAAACTAACTGGTACATGGAATTCAACGTAAGAACATTTTCTTCTGGATCCCAGGGATTAAATTTTATGACTAGTCTCCTGCTAAAGTACAGCAGTACCTTGGCTCACAAACTCAATTCTCTCCGTAATTCTGGTCACAAGTTGAACTGGATGAGAACCGAATCAAATTTCCCCATAAGGTCAACATTGAACCTAAACATAAATCTAATAAAGATGTGAAATACAAGAATGTAATATCCCCCTTCTCTCTTTCTCTGCTAGAGTGAGCATCTGGGAAGGTTCTAAAACAGTTTAAACAATCCACATTGTCCCTGGTTTCAAATTTACATCAATTTGTGCAATGAATATTTTGCACTATTACAATATTTAACCGATGCAGTTTAATAACAGTATGATCAACTTTTATTGATTTTACATAAATAACAATAAAGTATCTTTAAAATTATGGTTTTCCAATATAGTTATGTTACAACACACAACTTTTTTTTAAGAAAGTATTTGTCAAATCTTTTTGAAGAGGCGGTGTGGGAAAGTGCTGACGGAGAAAGAGGAGAATGAGGTTTGTACACAAATCTTCAAAGATAAGACTGCAATATTTGGCAATTATTTCCTGTTACAAGAGACAGGTTTGTAACTGTGAAAAATATCCAAAGTGCAGTGCATTGATTTAATTAAAAAATCATCAGTGCCAAATATATTATTTGAGCATCAAATTTCCCTACCTATACTCAGTTTCCTAACTTTTATGCTTATTAAATAACGGTTTTACATGGTAATCATCAATATCTTCAGTTAAATAACCTCACATTTGAATTAAATCATGGCAACACTGTTATTTTTTTTTTAATTCCAATTTATTTATCCATTAGTAAAATGGACCACTTGATGATATCCCAGAAAATGAGGCTTTTATAGGAAAATGATAACCCTATATCTGCTACTACCCTTGGTATAATAACTAATATATCAGACTTTTATCCAAACTGATTGTTCTACTTGAGCAAAATCCTACAAGTAGTCATTATCATACCAATACTGAAGTAGCCATTCCTCAACAAAGAACCATCTTCACATTAGTATTTCTTGATTAGGGTACTTAAGCCTTGGTATTATTGAACACAATGAATTTTTCTTACTGAGTATGGGTGGAGTAAGGCAAAAGGATATATAGCCAGGTCCCTTCAGTAGTTTATTCTTTAATTTAAAACTATTGTAGAGGCTATACAAACTATAGATCTGCTGGTTGGAAAGATACACACTGTTCTCGGACGAACGCTCAGTACTTGAAACATGGTATTAGAATCTTGGTGTTCACAGCATCTTCTTTTGATCTACCACATGGCCATTCCTCAGCAGCGTGCACAACGCTGATTTTCAAATGACGCCACTTACTTGCCATGTATCTTCACTGGGTATCGATTATTTCTCCTTATTAAAAATATTTAAGATTTGGGCAATAATCTACTCTATCTTCGTGAGCTCTCCATTGCCTAATTTTTCATTTTTATAACCATTCTCTGAAGGGCTATTGCAATTTTGTTCCGTCACACTCTTCACGTAACTATGTGGTCCCTTTCCCTCAAAGGAGGAAGGATTTTTGAATGAGCCTCCGATTCTATCCCACAAGGTGAAGTACTGTCCGTAGTTATAGTCAAAGAACAGGTGGTGGTCTGTATGATGAGCTGAGCCATTAATAAACGGCCTGAAGATCTTGGGGACACGAAAATCACCATCATGAATGGAAATTGTCCAGACATTAACAAGGATGTACAAACCTAAGTACACCAACTTGTGTAATGGAAAAATAAAAGGGTATATATGGTAAGGTAGACTCTGAAGAAAGCCATCCAAAGGGTGAAAAGCATGACTTGCAAATGGAGTAGGAATCTTCCACACATGATGAGGTTTATGTATGCGCTAAAGAAGAAAGGGACATAATTAGCACCATGAACTTAACAGTCTACTTCATACTCATGTTACAGAGGTGACCTATCTAAAAGATCCCTTTGAAATTAGCAAAACTGCCTTAAAAGGGCCTCTTCCTTTAATCCACAAGTGAAATTTTAACACAGTCCCTCTAGATCCATAAAGAAGAGTACAAATAAAATGTACCTGGTACTTCCTATGACTCTGGCTACTTAAACATTTAAAAGAGGAAATTCTTGGGAAAGAGAATAAATTTTATAATCATACACTGCTGAAATGTGTAATATTCTTTCTATTTCCCGTTCTAATGACTCTACCTTGTATACAAGTTTATGATGAAGGCCTCTGTGAATCCAGTAGATCAGCATGTCGGTGAAAAAGAGGAAGGATATTACACTAACAATGAGGTGAAACCAGCCTAGAAGAGATAACAGGGAACAGAAGAATCAAGATTTGGCTGCCAGGACTAGAGTTCACTTTTTATATGTCCATGCAAGTGCAAAATGGAATCCTACAGTCGAACAGTATAAACTATTTTGGCTAACTCAATACATTAGAAGTTAATCTCCCCTCACTCCATGCAGTCTGGTCATTTCCTCATTTTTCTTCTCATAAGAACTTGAAATGAGGGCTGGGGATTTAGCTCAGTGGCACATAGCCTGCCTGGCAAGAGCAAGGTCGTGAGTTCGATTTCCAGTACCGGAAAAAAACCAACTTGAAATGGCCAAGATTTAGTTGACTTTTTTTTACATTTTTAAAATATTACTTACAATACACAAAAACCAAAAATTTTAGATATAAGTGATTAATTTCTTATTAAACCATAAAGAGACAGATATAAGTAATTAATTTCTTATTAAATCATGAAGAGACAGAAAAGGACAGTCTCGAGACATCTTTAAATATGAGAATGCTACTTGATCATTTTCCTTCACAGTAGCCTTCCTACAACATTATCTTAACAATAGGATCTTCTCGCTTAGAACTCTATTTTCTACTAAATACCTCTGGCTAGCATTAATGCACAATCTGATCCTTTCTGACTTTTCTAACCTTGTCATTCCCATACTTCTGCTCTAACTAGGTGAGTTTACTCAGCGTCCTCCTGAAATGTCGCTACTCTTAAACTTCCATCCCTTTGCTCACCATCCATTTGCCAAGTGACAGAAGCAAGTTACTGAAATGCTCTGTATACCTAATCTACTCACCTATAAAAGGAACACAGTAACAGTTGCCACCTCATAGAACTGTTGTAGAAAAAAAATGCATCGAGACGTGTGAAGAGCTTAGGACTGTCACTAGCACATTTTAATACTCAAGTGCTAACGCTATTCTTATTTTCTCTAGTCTAAATACCAAAAATATATCTTGATGAAATAATTTCAGAATTGTACAAATTTTAATTATGGCAAGACTGTTTACAACAGAAACAAATATAAATATCTAAAGGTCTAATGATTAGGGATCAATTAATAATTTGCAGACATACACACAAAAAGATACTGTAATTAATATACTATTTAATGTCAACACTTATTGATATGAAATTATGTCCATATTTATTGAGGTGAAAAAAGGGTGCAAATCAATATGTACAGTACAATTGCATTTTTGCAATGTAAACAATAAGTATACAGGCACAGAAAAGTTGGACGATACATGACAAACGATTTATGGTTTCTTAAAAATCTGTATTTTCTGATTTTCAGAAACGTTCATGTGTTACTTGACTCACTTTTTTAGAAGTCTGAATTCATTAAAAAATAATAGAAAACAACCCTGTCTGATCACTTAATTTTCTCCCAGGCAAAATTTCATCGATAATACACTTTAAAGTTGATATGTAAAATGAAAGAAATACGTATATGTGGCAAGATATGAACTCATGAAAGCAAAAGGTTAAAAACAACAATATAAAAGAAGAAAAAAGAGGGAGAATTATTTCTATATAGAAATCAGCCCAGTTTAGACCAGCCTCTGCACCGCTGTCTCCTTTACTTACCATGTGGAAACTCTATGTCGTCATACAATTTGCTGTAACCTTTCACCTCTAGCAGGAACAAAGCAACGGTGGGAATACTGATCCATGGCATTGACTGGACAGTGAATTTAATCTCTCGATAGACTTGATTCTGAAAATAAAATCTCCAGTATTTTAAAAGTCACAAAATCTATGCTTGACAAAAATGGCATAAAATTGTTTTGGACTGGATTTTTAAACTCTCTCTTACATATATGGAAAGGCTTACCTCCATAATGTTTCTATAAAAATTTCAATACATGGGAGCATGTAAGAAAATACTCCTTTTGTATTGAGCAAACAACGTAACTATCTTAAATTCTACAATGATTTCTCCTTCCCACAAAATTTGTATTCTGAATTTCTATTTATGAAATAATCATTTCTTTCGTAATTAACTTCCATCCCCAAACCTATTCTTAAAAAAAATTCACAACAGGGATGTAGTTCAGTGGTGCAGTACCTGCCTTGATAGCAAGAAGCCCTGAGTAGGGGCTGGGGATTTAGCTCAGCGGCAAAAGCGCCTGCCTGGCAAGCGCAAGGTGGTGAGTTCGGTTCCCGGTACCGGAGAAAAACAAACAAAAGAAACAAACAAAAAAAACAAAAAAAGAAGCCCTGAGTTAATTCCTGCTACCAAAAAAGAAAAAAAGCCCCTAAAAAATGTTTAGTCCTTGTAGTAAATGACAAATACAAATAACTGAATGACTATAAACAACTCTAATGCTATGAGTTTGAATCCCATCTGACCAAAGAAAAATATACATTTAAAACATATTTGTTTGTGAAAGTCAAACAAAAATAACTGCATAAAGTCAGTACATTTATTATTCACTGTATTAGCAAAAAAATTCTCATATGCATCTAGCAAGGTAAGATAGTAGGCTTATAGTAAAAAAATTAGATTCATTCATATGTTTAAATTAAGGATGAAGAGATTGTCACTCAGAAAACTAATCTAAACTATTTTAGGGGCTGATTTCAAAAATTTTACTGGTTACATATACCCAGTTTAATCCGAAAATCTGGCAAAAACATCACATATTTTTACTATATATCACATTTTATTTTACTGCTACAGTAGCTAGAAAACAGGTAAGAAAATATCTTACCTTTAAAAATAGTGGATGTTTCATTAATGAATGGTCGTAGATAAAATAATAGCTCAGTGATGCACAGAGGAAATAAAGGACAAAAGCACCAAGGTTCGTTACAATCAGGAGACCAATAGTCTGTCGGAAAATGTCATCCTCCGGCCATGTAGATGGATATACATAGGGTGTAAAAAAGTAATAATCTGCGTAATTGAGAACATAGTCCATCTTCGACCCTGAAAGATAAACACATGCAACTATTCCTTATCACAGCTACCTTTTTCTAAGCAAAACTTTTTCAGAAAAACATGAAGTTTCCAATTTAGGATTTTATGTAGCACAAGTCTGTTGCCCATAGGTTCGTCTAAATGCCATCCTTAGCATCGAAGAGAACCTCCACATACGCACCTGTGTGGCGAGCCTTGTTACTGCACTGCTGTTTCTTCAGAAAGCAGTCACGTGTTTTGCAGGTTTGCTGGGAACACCATCACCACCACGATGACTGTGACAATATGCTTGGCAACTTCCTCATGTTTTTGTTTTTGTTTTTATTTTATGAAGGAAGCTGGGCACCTATAAGTATAAAGTCTCCGGCATGCACCCCTCTGTGACACTCTTCCTGCATCAGGGTCGTGCACACTGGAATGTTTTTCCCTTCTCATTTCTAAGTAGAGATTACTGCTCAGGAAGTGCTAATTCACTCTGTCCAAGATGCAAAGATTGTTCTCAGTCTTGTGAAAGGTTTTACACTTGGCAAATGACTATGCTGGAAGCTGTAGTCTGCTCTTGATAGAGGTGGGGCCAAAGGATTGAGTGTGTCTTGTAGCATTAGGTGCCTGGTTACACTGGCAACCAGGCTCCTTGGGTAGGCCACCGCTAATCCCATAGAAACATGGAATCTAGCTGCGGTGGAACAACCTGTGGTGGAATGAAAGGCCTTTGAGCAAACCCGAGCAGCTCCTTTGCCAACATCCTCTAAATTTGGATTTCATGATTCAGGCAGGTGACATCCTAAATACCATCTCTAGTCCAATCTCCTCATATTCTACAGGAAGTCACTAAAGCCCAGTTAGAGAAACTGAGGCCCAGGAAGCTTTTCCTCTAGGCCATCAAACTAGTAAGTGACATAAACCCAGCTCTAATTCCATGTTAGGGTTCCTGCGGCAACACTGCACATCGTAAAGATGGGAATGGAGAAGACCAGGTGTTCAAATGGCTACAAGTTCCATCACATCTCTGTCCTTTGAGGACTCATATTTCAGTGCAGTCTTTCTTTGCCCAGTAAGTCCAACACTTGGGCTTTCTCAGGGACAGTTTATAGTGACTGTCTTTTTTAGTGTATATAGGGCCATACTTTCTCATTTCCATGTATGTCTCATAATTTCTTTTGCAGAAAAGGAGTATTTGAAATAATGTAATATGGCAACTCTGGAAATCATATTATCTATATGCTTTCCCACCCTACCCTCAGGGCTTCACGCTGCTGGGCATGTAAGTGATTTTCGTGAATCCTTGTATAATACCTGTATTCTTTATTGGGCACCATTACTGAAACTCTAGTGATGACTGGATACAATTTCCTAAAAAGCCTTGAACCAATAGGTCTCCCAGCCTTTGCTGTAGTGCCATGGGGTGGGGGTGGGGTGGGGCATGATTTCAGTATTTCTGTGGATAGTTTACACCTCTAAGGTGGCCTTCACTTCCAGCTTGAACAGATAGTCAAGCTCCAAGATGACAGATCAGAGCCTGTTCCTTTCTTTTTTGGGTACACGCACAGCCCTTTGTCTCTTCCCATGGAGGTCTCATTGCCCCAAGTGACCTTCTTAATTTTTTGTTCAGACTCTTCTTAGGGCCTACTGGTAACAGCACTTCCAGGAGCTCTGATGTTAAACAATGATTACTCTTGACAAACACCTTATAAGGATAGGATGTTTACAGTAAGCAAGTTCTAAGACAGGTCTAAGAAAGACAAGCCTGAAGAATAGAGTTTTTCAGGGTACTGCATGAAGGTCAAACAGTGACAATTCTCTGGGTGGGAATTCTGGGTGAGCTGCAGACTTATTCTATTTCCCCCAATGGTTGCCAGGTTACTGTTTTTCTGTGATTATGTTTATTAGTTTATTAGTTTTCTTTCTTTCTTTTTTTTTTTAGGGCTATTAGTTTTCAAAACTCCCAGTAAGAAGAAGAAAGGGCAAGTTACAATGTCACAAAGCTCATTGTTCCTACTGGGATTTAGCAATTTTTCTCAAACTAATGCTTCCTAGAATTACCGCAAACTTTTACTTTCTAGAGATCCAAAAATGCTGATTTTGACAACTTTTGTTAGTATTTTTTGTTTTTTTATTTTGCTTTTACAGTGCAGCAGATTTTTTTTACTCTACTATTTGGAAGTCACCATTTCTCTTTACAGTACAGGGCTACCATTCTCACTTAGAACATCTTGCTGGCCTCAGGTATATTTTGAAATTCAGAATTTCTAGGCTTTGCAAAGATCATAAATATCACCTTGTCACATTAATATGCGTTTAGTATATGTATGAATATTCACATTAAGTGGAATACATAAATACTACATACAGTATTGTAGTTTATTTATATGAGGATAACTTCTTATACCTATGTATATACTTACAAATACAGTAAGCTAAATATATAATATAGTCTAATAATTGATTAGAGAATTGGTAAAGACTATAAAAACTTTATTGCTTTTCTTTTCACATAGAGTAAATTTTCAAATACATACAAAATCAAAGCTAAATCCCTGAAGATGTAGATATTCATGGGTACAGGAAAGACTCCTCACATCTGGTCACTTGAGGATCTTGGAGTAGGGTCCATCAAGCTGGGATTAGACACTGATGATGGGCCAGATCACGGTTCTCAGGTGATAACACACTGCCACCCAAGATGGCCTTTTGAAAAGATTTCTACCAATGCCGCGTCTTATGAACATGTGTTTCCGTGTGTGTGATAGCTCTCTGTCACAGTGCTTTAGCGCAATTCAGCCATCTGTGTTCACAATGTAGCCATTGACATCATTCATGTTATCAGTACCGTCCTCATGCTTTCATGTCTTTAAAAACCTCCCAGTAATTCCTCCATCACCCAACAAATGACTGACAGAAGCACCATGATCAACGTTGAGCATTTCGAGGACAGCTTCTTCTGACTTACTAATGGTTTTAGCCATTAAATGTATTGTGCAAGTAATGAGGTTGGGTATCATTGTCTCACTAGTAAAGAAAACCCTTCAAAATATTTGTAGGTTCATTTCCAAATCCCACTGTCAGCTAAAATACAAAACATTTATTAATATGGATTTGTCAACATCATTTTGTGCACTAAGTAACTTTGAAAAAAGACCTTTATGACTGAGCTCTTAAGGAAGTTTTGACTCCTGGGCCACCATTAGTTGTGTGGGCAGCACAAACACTTTTCCAGGGACGACACTCCTTGGCAAGAAAGGCTGTATTTCCAGTCATAACCTATGTGTGTGTTTGGAAGTCTGTGGGGGCGGGGGGAGGGGATAAATGCTAGTAACATTACTTTCACCAAAGTCAAAGAACTGTCTAGGAATAATAAAAACTGTCAATGTTTGCTACACTTTCACACTGTTCCCCAAACTTCTGAATCCTTCCTTCTTGATGCTACTATTCTTCCTGAGTGGCAGTTCTTCATATACCCTAGGTTGTTTCATGATTTATAGAGCAATGAGTACCATTTATTTCCCTACTGTCAAATCAATTTAAACATGGTTAGGATCTTCATTTTCTGTCCCACACAATTTTTTCCTGCTTTTCACTAGTTATTGGTCTTTGCTGCCACTGTAAAACAATCTTTGCCTTCCTTATAACACATGTTGGGGGTTCCCACACTGTCTTTTTCAGTAAGATATCTCAACAGACACATCATGCACCAGCATCTCTAAAAACCCTACTTTCTGTCCTGAGTAATTAAGAGTGACAAATGTCGATTCATTTTCGTTATTTTTTTTTTTTTCATTTTCGTTATTCTCATCAGGTTAAACCATTTTCAATGTTTTCACATGCAATTAAATCCAAAGTAACAAACCAACAAAAAAAGTGAAACAACATCAGCAAGCAAAAGGCAGGAATACCTGGTAAGTGCACCAAGACAAAACTGGCTCTTCAGTTGGAGTTAGGATTCGACATCAAATAGGCACAAGGGCTGATCCTAAAACAAAACCAAATGCAAAAACAACCTTGTGGTTTTCAGGTCTCTGCAGACTTGGAGATGGTGACTAACCCTACACTGAGTAAATGCCTACAAGCACTAGAGCCAGAGCTGGTCAAAGAGAATTGTACTTGTAACTTTTTAATAAACACATACTGTTAAATTCCTCCCCGTAGTGGATGTTCTACTTTGTGAGCTCACAAACTACGGAAGATCATGCTTATTTCTCTACAACCTTACTAAAGGAGGATATTATCAAACTTTCAGACATTCATCAATTTAACAGGAAAGAAAAAACAACTTGATGTATATTTAATCTAGATTCACCTTATCAGCATGGTTAATCATTATTATTTTTTCTGTAAATGATCTGTTTTTAATCCCTTGCCCATTTTCTCTTTGAGCTGTTTAGCTTCTTCATGAAAATCAAATTCTAGAAGCTCATTATTTATGAGTTTAGACTTCTTCTTGTAATATGATTTTCAAAGTTTTTTCATGACTTTTCAGGGAAAGAAAAATTTAACACTAACTCCTAGGTATTCACATAAATAATAAGTAACTCCAGGGAACATACATACTCCATAATTTGAAAAGGGTGTTGCTGTATCACAAAGGTTGGTAAGAACTCCACTAATCTATATGTTCCTTATACGGATATTCCTCAGGGTTATGTCCCAATAAACCTATCACAAATAGAAAATGTCAATTGAAAATACCTTTAATACATCTATCCTTCTGAAAATCCTAGATCAGCAACACCATACACTGTAGAGTTTTAGCTGTTTCTCCTGATCATGGTATGGCTAATTGGGACATGTAGCTTACTGCTACTGACTAGCAAAGGCAAGCACTGTACAGCACTTACAAGACAGGGGAAAGAATAAAATTCAAAATATGATTTCTAACAAATATGAATCACTCTCATACCATTTTCAGCCAAAACAAAATCTTGCTTTGAACTATCATTAAGTAATAGGGACAATTTGTAATGCCACAGAACCCTAATTCACTACACTACTGTACATAGAATAGTATGGTACAACCAAAAAAAGAACCAAACATTAACTAGGAATCTTTTTCATTCAATCTTATTATCAGATATAAAGAAAACCTTAACAGAATCTCAGTCCTTCACTTTAAAAAACTCCCAGCTGTGCACGTCGACACACATCTGCAATCCCTGCACTCTGGGAGGTTGAGGAAGGAGGAGGCTGCAAACTTAAGCACAGTCTGAGCAACTTAGCAAGACACTGTCTCACAAATAAAAATTTTAAAAGGCTGGGATATACCTCAATATAAAGGCCCTGGGTTCAATCCCCTGTATATATATAAAAAAAGTTCCCACAAAACCTGAGAAAACCTCTCTAATTTTCCTTTTAAAACCACACTTATTGTGTTAATTTGTACATACCCTGCACATTATTGCTCTAACAGTAAATCAGTGTTTAGGAGAAGGTAATGTCCCTCAGTTAATCTGGAGGTAGTTCCAATACTATGTTGTTAACCTCGTTCTCATTGTTTTTAAGTTTGGGTATTAATTAATTTGTTGAATGTATTCACAAATACACTGTAATGTCTGACATCTAATACCAAAAAAATCTGATGGATACGATCTCAAAACAATTAAATTCTGAAGTAAGTTTATATTCCAACCCACATGTGTAAAACGGAGATCACAGACTTAAGTGACAAGACTGTAAGCTTTAGGGACTAAGTAGTCTTTTGACACCATGTGACACTCAGGAGATATTCAACAAATAGGAATTATTACTATTACTACGGGGGGAGCCAAAGCTGAGTCAAAATTACTTTAATGTAAGGCCAGAAAAGGTGCCATCTGACTTTTCTTTGCAAAATAATAATTCTGATTAGTATTTACTATGTACTAGGAACTAGAACTACTTTACATATATTAACTCATTGAACTTTCAAAAAGCTCCAAGCGTCAGATATTAGCATCATCCTTATTTTACGGACGAAGGTGGGCACAGAAAATTCAAGTAACCTGCCCAAGGTCACAGAGTAAAAGACGGCTGGAGCTGGAATTGAAACACATGCAGTCTGGTTGCACAGTCCCTGCACTTCACCCAAGTTCTGCTGCCTCTGCACCATGTCAACTGTTAACTCCTCGCATTTAAAAAATTCCTCAAGGAGTCTGTAACCTCAAATAATTTTAAGGGGTTACACTCCCCTGAACTTAGGGGCTTAATCCTAAATACTACTGCTTTAAACATGTCTATATAAAATATTATTTTACCTTTGCAGAAACAGATCTTTTCTTAAAACACAGTTATCAATAAAACACTACTAGGCTCAGAATGACTGAATCTACTATTCTTTTTGCTTAACTTTAAAAATACAGGTAAAAACAGCTAACATTTACTGAGAACCACTTCTTATTATAACTTCGTTTAACTCTTCCAACTCTGTACGCAGGTACTTGTGTAATTTCCACTATACAGATCAGAAACAAATCAGGAATATTTAAATAATGTGTCGAATAACAAGTAATAGCTGTTATGTACAGTACATTCCACAGCCTGTTCTCCTAGCTGGTACACTGTGTCTCAAGATGTCATATATGCCACGGAGAAACTGAGTAATTACATAACGAGCAGAAAAGCACTCTGTAAATGATTACAGATCATGTATTTATTATTAGATATCTATCATTAGAAACTAAAAAAGAAATGATGGTGATATAAACGCGACCACCTAGTCGGTTTCGGTTAACAATACCAGATAGACACAAGCCTCCCAGCCTGGTAACTTTCTCCACGTAGGCAATGTTTTCTTCACCGATATACCACCTTCACGATTATTCTCTACACCACAGGGAGGCCAGGGTACAGCAGTTTTCTTTTTACGATGCGAAAGTAGTCATTTTCCGCTCCCTTCTATTCGTCTGAAACCGGGGGTTGCCCTCTCTCCCTTCTAATTACACTGCCGAAATGACATAATTAATTCTTCCGTCTAATTCCTTTTCCCCTTAGAAAAACAAACGAAACAAAACACAAAAAACACCACTCCCAGAAAGCAGGGTCATCAGCTGCAAAGGAAAGCACGATAGTGCTTTGCGACCACACTTCGCCCAGCAGCCAACACCAAACACCGGCCCGTCCTCCCTGCCCAACCCGCGCCAGTCTCCATCCCTCCGGGCCTCGGCCCCGCCGCCAAGCCCCACGCCAGGCCACCCGGCGGCCCACGCCCGCTCCAGCCCGGCGCCGCCCCCGCCCGCCGGCCTAGCTATCGGAGGGCGTCTCCGCACCGTGCCGGGACCTGGCATCTGGCAGGCAGGCGAGAGACCGCTGCGACGCTGCGAGAAAGGAAGGTCCTGGCCCACACCTGAGCCGCGCCTCGGGTATATTGCGCTTGCTGGCTCCGTGCACTCGCACCTACCTGGACAGGGCTGGAAATCGGGTCCCACAGCGCCGCTGAGCTGCGCGCAGCGGCCGGCGTCCGCAGCCAACACACCCAAGGAGAGGACCTGAGCGGTACGCAGGCGGCAGGCGCGGCAGCCAATCAGCGGCCGGCGCCATAAGCTGATATGACGGCGGATCGCGCGACTCGGCAGTTCGCCGCCCTCCGCGGTCACGTGTTGGCGCGCTCCAGGCCACGCCCCCTTCTCCCGCTCGCGACCTAAGGGAGGGTGGGAACTCGGTACCTCACTGGAACCGCTGAGGACCGAGTTTTTCAGGTTCCAAGTGTGTTTGCCTGTTTTCTAACTGGCTGCGACCCCTGCAAAGGAAGTTTACGGTGTTTTATGTAGACATTTCCAAAAAACGATGCACTTCCCTCAGTGAAATGGAAACCATAGGCTTGTAAGTGTAAGCCGGAGGCACTGTCCCACGCAAAAGAAGGAGGCTCGGGGGCTTATCAGTTGTTGAGCCTATTGTTAAGGGCTAGTGAATGGTTACACCCTGGCCAAACCGGTTCCGAGGTGTTCACTGGCCAGAGAAAGGTAAAAGTCTCCATAACACAAGTTACTGACAAACAAAAGTACAACCTTACAGCTTGAACTGGCTTTTATTTCTGTTTCTCGAATCCAGGTGGCATCCCATCCTGTGAAATAGAGGTCCCACAACCTGATTGGTTGTCTAGGCAAAAAGGGGCTGGAGAAAGCATACATAAAGAACAGTAAGATTGGCTTTTCAGAGTTGCTGTCCTTGTAGTTAACAAGGTTTTGTCATGCTGACTGGAGTAAATTGGGTCCCTTCTGATTGGTTACAGCGTCTCTCCTAGTTCTGTAAGAAAACCGGAAGATCCACTGGAAATGCTACAGTGTAAGGACTGAAACTGTTAAGACTCCAATCCTTAGAACCCTGTATGTGAATATTATATTACATGTCTGTTGTATGCCTCCTACTTTTTAAATCGCGTTTTGTTTCCTTTGTTTCCCTTGTTATTGTTGTTTCATACCATAACTTTTGAAATTAAAGTGTTTACATTCATTTGTGAAGAGAACAAAAATGTGGCTTAAGGGATATTTACCTACCATAAGAGTTCTACATTTGTGGCTGTTGTGTGATAAAGCTGGCCTATGGGGTTTGTTTAATGAACAAGTATTTTTTTTTTCCCAGTGAAACAAATTTTGTGGGAGGCCATTGCTTTTGAATTGAGCTCTTGCCCAGACCAAAATGGAGTTTTTGACACTATTATATGATCAAATTTTAAAGAAACAAGTAAATCCTCAAACAGAGTATTCTAGACAATCAATTGGAAGGGACTTAGTCAAGCTGAGTCACTAAAATTAGGTAGTTCCTTCTGCATTAATCCTTTTAAGTAACCTGATGTTAATCAATCTGCTTTCTTTTAGTTCTCTGTTTCTTAGTTCTCACCTTATAAAAACCAAGGATTCTGATGCCCAATGGTGTACTACTTCTGTTTATAGAATGAAATGTTGCCCAATTCTAGAGTTACAAATAAAAGCCAATTTAATTTTGAAACATAACTTGAAATTACATCTTTTGCCATCTTATTTATTTAAATTAATTTTACACTTTAAAAGAAAAAAGATTTCTCCCAAAAGATAAGGAAATGTGACCACATTGAGCCTCAGTTCCTGCATGAGAACCATTGCATCTAGCTGTGTTAGATATCACTTGGGCCATCCAGTTTATTTGAAGCACAACAACCCTTACTGTTTCTCTATTATAGCAAAATTATACTATTTCCCTGGTTACTACAGGCATTTGAATATGTGCTGTTATGGTTTGTGTCTAGATGTCCTCACAAAGCATGCAGTCATAGGGCCTTGCCAGCGGTAGCTGAATCTAGAGTGTGTGATGCTAGGATTAAGTGTGTGTGATCAGTTCATTGTTTGGTGTATTACTGCCTAAATCCCAGTAGCCTAGACGGAGTATAAAATGGCCAGGAAGACACTGTTGAAGTTCTTTTGTTTTTGCTGTCTTCCACCCCCATGTAATGTTGCCCCTACACCTGCCATGAAACCAGCCGAATATGGACTGAAAACTTGACAAACTGTGAGCTAAAAAAATTCTCCCCTTTAAGTTTGGGTGTCAGTATTTTCTTTAAGCAAGGAGAAAAATAGCTAAGACAGAATTTAGTACCAGAGAAGTGAGGTCCTGGGTGTGGCTGTACCTCACTATGTGGTTTAGGAGCCTTTGGAACTAGCTTGTGGGAAGAGTTTGGAATGACTCAAAGATGCCAGCTGAAAAAGTACAGCTGAAAAGCCTTAGGCTGTACTGTGTGGGATGGAGGGAACCTTGTTGGTCTCTCATTGTACCCTGGAGAGAAACGGCAGTGGGTATGAGAAAAATAAAGACAAGAGACAAGAGCTGGGGTCAGGTGGAGTTACCTCTTGCCTGATGAGCATGAGAGCTGACTTCAACACTAGGGGCGTTTATTTTATACTCTTGCAAAGTTAGTATCAGGAGAGATGATGTTGCCTAATGACTAATGACTGTAATTCTTCAGGCAGGATACTTTTGTCAATACTGAGGTAGCTTGACTGCTTGAGGCACTCTGGCTCTATCTGCCCTCACACACATGACCAAAAACCAGCTCGAGCAGCTCCCAACAGTGGGAGATTCTGTTCACAGTTCAAAAGGCCAAAAACCTGATAGAAATGCTGCCAATAAAGACCAGCCTCAAGAGGTTTGTGCTGGGAGAGATTGCACTGGTTGTTGGACTTCAGATGATGTGTAATATACCGTGGCAGAAACTTTGCTTGGACCCTTTGCCTGACTCTGAGATTAAGGGCAGTGAACTAATTAATCTTATAAAAAAGTTTAAGAAATTGAAGATTGAGGCAGTGGCATGGCTATTGTTAGGTGCTTTTAACCAGATCTATGTTGAGAATCAAGAGCAAAGAGCCCAGTTGAATGATTTAAAATATCATGAGTTTGGCCAGAAAGGAAACTCTAGTAAAGATGAGGACTGCAAAGGTAGAGCAGAGACCTTGATTGCTGAGAAGAAACAAGGGAGTAGAAAAGATGGCCTGGAAACATCACAAGAACCAGCAGGACTCCACCCCTGGCATTCTCAAAATTGCAGAAGTGAAAGATTTTGCTTTGAGAAGAGCGCCCAAGAGCACCATGTTCCACAATGACAGTAACCTGGAAAATTTGTTCCTCAGGACTGGGTTCGGAGTGTTCAGTGACCCAGGCACTTGACTCCTACAGCCAAGACAGAGAGAGGTGTGGCTACTGCTCCAGCTGGCAGAAGACCTTGGCATTGTCCATATGGCCCTGGTTTTAGGTTCATGCATAATGGAAGAGTGGTAGGGTCAGAAGGTTTCCACCTAGATTTCACAAGAAGGCCTGAGAGGCCAGGCAGTATGCTGAGAAGGCAGAGTGAAGCTGTGAGTATGAAGCTGAAAGTTTAGTGGTGATCCCAGAAATCTGGAGAAGCCAGAAACATGGATCACCGGAGGGAAACTTCAAGGAGGGAACAGAGCCAGCCCTAGAGAGAAGCCATGGGAGCTACAACCACTGGAAGTACCATAGAGGTGGAGCCACACAAGCACTTTCAAGTTCACATCTTGCCACAGATTGCCTCAATGCTTCACATAGAGCTACAGGACTTAATGTTTGCCCTACTGGATTTTGGATTTGCTTTGATCCCATTCCTTTGTAGTCCCATTTGTACCTTTTGGAATGGAAATGTCTATCTTGTGCCATTGTCTTTTGGAAGTGTTTCACTTTCTTTTCATTTGTACAGGAGCTCACAGATAAGAGCTTGCCTTAAATCTCAGAGAAGACTTGGGACTTGGACTTTTCAGCAATGCTGAAACTGTTAGGACTTTGGCAACTCTCAGATATGGACTAAATGCCTTTTTCATAAAAGTATGTCACTGGGGGGGTGGGTAGGAGAAGAATGTTGTTGTATGGTTTTTGGATTTTTTTTCTTTTTTTTTCCAGTACCGGGAATCGAACTCACGACCTCTCGCTTGCAGGCAGGCATGGTGCCCCTGAGCTAAATCCCCAGCCCCTGTTGTATGTTTCTAGATGTCTCCCCAATGCCTCATGCAGGCATTTGTGGGGCTTTTTCAGAGGTGGCTGAATCTAGCGTGTATGATTGATTCATGGTGCCATGCTAGTATTAAGAATGCTAGGACTAATGGTGGGTCATTACCAAATCAGTCCACTGATTTGTTTGGCATTGCCCTAATCCTGGCAGCCTAGATACAATATAAAAGGGGAAGAAAGATCCTATTAAGGTTTCTTGTTTGTTTTGCTACTTTCTGTCTACCATGAACTGTTCTCCTCTGCAAAGCCACCTTACCTTGGAGGGAGCCAATTAAGGACAGAAAACTCTACAAACTGTGAGCTAAATAAGGCTTTTCCTCTTTAACTTTGGATGTTAGATATTTGTCTCAGCAGTGAGAGAAAAATAAACTAAGAGAAGATTCATGCAAAAATATGTTTATGTGTCACTGGCCCCATTGGTTTATTAAAACTTTCCTACTCTAAAACAACATATCAATTACTGTTATTAGGACAATGTGATGTTATATAAGATAGATTGATAAATTATAGATGCATTCAATGGGTTCACTTGACAAAGCTGTCTGCTTCTATATCTGAAAAATAATTGTAAAGCGTGTTAGCTTTCTGTTACTATTTGTTAAGATAATCAACTAAAAGGGAGAAGGTTTATTTTAGGTTATTGTTTCTGTGGTTTCAATCCACTGTGGGTTGGCCCTGTTTGCTTTGGGCCCAAAGGCTGGGAAAGAAATAGGAGATAGGATCTCACTATCCCCTTTCAAGGCCAGTCCTCAGTGATGCAACTTCCTTCCTCTAAGCCCCACATCTTTAAAGTTGTACTTCCCAATAGTGCCACAGGATGGCAACCAATCTTTTAACACATGGGCATTTGAGAGTTGTATTAGTTACCTTTCTGTTGCTGGGACAAAATATC